AGTCGCCGAACACTGGTCACACCGACACTGTTCGTATACATCTAGATGTGTGATTGAAGTCGCCGAACACTGGTCACACCGACACTGTTCGTATACATCTAGATGTGTGATTGAAGTCGCCGAACACTGGTCACACCAAACTGTTCGTATACATCTAGATGTGTGATTGAAGTCGCCGAACACTGGTCACACCAAACTGTTCGTATACATCTAGATGTGTGATTGAAGTCGCCGAACACTGGTCACACCGACACTGTTCGTATACATCTAGATGTGTGATTGAAGTCGCCGAACACTGGTCACACCAAACTGTTCGTATACATCTAGATGTGTGATTGAAGTCGCCGAACACTGGTCACACCAAACTGTTCGTATACATCTAGATGTGTGATTGAAGTCGCCGAACACTGGTCACATCGACACGGTTCGTATACATCTAGATGTGTGATTGAAGTCGCCGAACACTGGTCACATCGACACTGTTCGTATACATCTAGATGTGTGATTGAAGTCGCCGAACACTGGTCACACCAAACTGTTCGTATACATCTAGATGTGTGATTGAAGTCGCCGAACACTGGTCACACCAAACTGTTCGTATACATCTAGATGTGTGATTGAAGTCGCCGAACACTGGTCACACCAAACTGTTCGTATACATCTAGATGTGTGATTGAAGTCGCCGAACACTGGTCACACCAAACTGTTCGTATACATCTAGATGTGTGATTGAAGTCGCCGAACACTGGTCACACCAAACTGTTCGTATACATCTAGATGTGTGATTGAAGTCGCCGAACACTGGTCACACCAAACTGTTCGTATACATCTAGATGTGTGATTGAAGTCGCCGAACACTGGTCACACCAAACAATGTAAGATTGTGACACCTCAACGAGAACTTGTCATCCACACATCTGTAATTAATGTTTGTTCGGGATTCAAGTCCGAATTCAGCTGTCGATCCCCTAAATGTGAATATCTATAAGTACATTAGTCAATGAATGATGGGGAAATACCCGAATACTTCCATTCCGATTTTCAATAAGCACTATACTGGTGTGACTCCGTCATCATAGAATGGAAACATTGAACCACCATGCCCCATCAACCAAACAAGCTATGTATGTGATACGTTATTCATTCAACTGGCAATACATCCACCTATTTGACCCCAGGTTTTCAATAGAGTGTACGACATTCAATTGCGGATGTCTTAAAGGTTTACGGCAGCTGAACTATGCGCAGAAAGACATGCCTATTCCCGACCGACGTTCTACCATATATCAAAAGACGGAGAGTCAAGCAGTTGTTCTTTTTTGTTCTTGACTAGCACCTGGGGGATGAAAACATGCCTTACAATTCATCCTTCAGACTGCTTTCTAGTACTTCACATTTTGTAGAAGCTATCAAATTACTGAGAATAATATCAGCCTGTGTACACTCATTAATGTCTGCATTAGTCATGATCAGGGTGTGCTAGGGTTGTACTATGTACAGCTATATTGTGGGACGAAAACAGGTTGGGCATAAAACATACGGACCATATCAGTTATCATTTACTAGCGTCTATTCATTATCTCATAGGGCTGGGATTGATTAAAGAAAGGGGAACTACTCTAGAAGCCTTATCGTTCATGTTATCAGCGTTTCACTTGAAAAAAGGGTGCATTTTCCTTTTGATGATCGAACTTCCATCGTCAAGAATTTGACCAATTTCAGTTTGCTTTATCTTTGTGCTTGTGTTCAGAGATAGCGTGAGCTTGTAAAGGTCTTTGTGTACACGGTGCCTACCTGGTAGTCGTTAAGCAGGCATGTATAGTGGTAAATGAAGATGTGTTGGTAGCTTTGGGTTGTTCAGGTAAATGTAGATTGTGGAAGTAACTATAGATTGTGGATGTAACTGTAGATTGTGGAAGTAACTGTAGATTGTTGAGGTAACTGTAGATTGTGGAAGTAACTGTAGATTGTGGAAGTAACTGTGGATTGTGGAGGTAAATATGGATTGTGGAGGTAACTGTAGATTGTGGAAGTAACTGTAGATTGTGGAAGTAACTATGGATTGTGGAAGTAACTGTAGATTGTGGAAGTAACTGTAGATTGTGGAAGTAACTGTGGATTGTGGAGGTAACTATGGATTGTGGAGGTAACTGTAGATTGTGGAAGTAACTGTGGATTGTGGAGGTAACTGTAGATTGTGGAGGTAACTATGGATTGTGGAGGTAACTATGGATTGTGGAAGTAACTGTACATTGTGGAAGTAACTGTAGATTGTGGAAGTAACTGTGGATTGTGGAGGTATCTATGGATTGTGGAAGTAACTGTAGATTGTGGAGGTAACTGTGGATTGTGGAGGTAACTATGGATTGTGGAAGTAACTGTAGATTGTGGAGGTAACTATGGATTGTGGAGGTAACTATGGATTGTGGAGGTAACTATGGATTGTGGAGGTAACTATGGATTGTTGAAGTAACTGTAGATTGTGGAGGTAACTATGGATTGTGGAGGTAACTATGGATTGTGGAAGTAACTGTACATTGTGGAAGTAACTGTGGATTGTGGAAGTAACTGTGGATTGTGGAGGTAAATATGGATTGTGGAGGTAACTGTAGATTGTGGAAGTAACTGTAGATTGTGGAAGTAACTTTGGATTGTGGAAGTAACTGTAGATTGTGGAAGTAACTGTAGATTGTGGAAGTAACTGTGGATTGTGGAGGTAACTATGGATTGTGGAGGTAACTGTAGATTGTGGAAGTAACTGTGGATTGTGGAGGTAACTGTGGATTGTGGAGGTAACTATGGATTGTGGAGGTAACTATGGATTGTGGAAGTAACTGTTCATTGTGGAAGTAACTGTGGATTGTGGAGGTAACTGTAGATTGTGGAGGTAACTATGGATTGTGGAGGTAACTATGGATTGTGGAGGTAACTGTAGAATGTGGAAGTAACTGTAGATTGTGGAGGTAACTATGGATTGTGGAGGTAACTGTAGATTGTGGAGGTAACTATGGATTGTGGAGGTTACTGTGGATTGTGGAGGTAACTGTAGATTGTGGAGGTAACTGTAGATTGTGGAGGTAACTATGGATTGTGGAGGTAACTGTAGATTGTGGAGGTAACTATGGATTGTGGAAGTAACTGTGGATTGTGGAAGTAACTGTAGATTGTGGAGTAACTGTACTGTGGAGTAACTATGGATTGTGGAGGTAACTATGGATTGTGGAGGTAACTGTAGATTGTGGAGGTAACTATGGATTGTGGAGGTAACTGTGGATTGTGGAGGTAACTGTAGATTGTGGAGGTAACTGTGGATTGTGGAGGTAACTATGGATTGTGGAGGTAACTGTAGATTGTGGAGGTAACTATGGATTGTGGAAGTAACTGTACATAGTGGAGGGAACTTTAGAATGTGGAAGTAATGGTAGAGTGTGGTAGTAATGGTAGAGTGTGGAAATAATGGTAGAGTGTGGAGGTAACGGTAGAACTAGTAAGTACAATGTGGAAGGAATGGTAAGAGTATGGAAGTAATGGTAGAGTGTGGAGGGAACTTTAGAATGTGGAAGTAATGGTAGAGTATGGTAGAAATGGTAGACTGTGCTAGTAATGGTAGAGTGTGGAGGGAACTTTAGAATGTGGAAGTAATGGTAGAGTATGGTAGTAATGGTACAATGTGGAGGGAACTGTAGAATGTGGAAGTAATGGTAGAGTATTGTAGTAATGGTAGACTGTGGTAGTAATGGTACAGTGTGGAGGGAACTGTAGAATGTGGAAGAAATGATAGAGTATGGTAGAAATGGTAGACTGTGCTAGTAATGGTAGAGTGTGGAGGGAACTTTAGAATGTGGAAGTAATGGTAGAGTATGGTAGTAATGGTACAATGTGGAGGGAACTGTAGAATGTGGAAGTAATGGTAGAGTATGGTAGTAATGGTAGAGTGTGGAGGGAACTGTAGAATGTGGAAGTAATGGTAGAGTATGGTAGAAATGGTAGACTGTGCTACTAATGGTAGAGTGTGGAGGGATTTTTAGAATGTGGAAGAAATGGTAGAGTATAGTAGTAATGGTAGAGTGTGGAGGGAACTGTAGAATGTACAGGTTACCATTGTTCGTGTTGAATGTCTGTGACATGGTGCCGCGGGCCGTGACATTAAGCTTGGGACACTACGTGATTACCAGACAGGAGTTTACTGTGGTATGTGAGAAATGTTTATCCAATATAAATCAAATGCTGAATGATGTACGAGATAAGATTGGCATTTCTGGGAAAAAGACAGGTAGCACCTCCCAAATGATGGACCTTTTTATGAGAACGTTATTTGACTGGATTAGATTTGTTTGCGTACGTTACAAGAAAACGAGAATAGCTGCACCAACTGTGTCACCACGTCACTACACACCGTGTTAATACGGTTAAAATACAAGGACTCTATGGGTGAGATATTCTTCATGTTTGCGGCAGGTACCCCTGTTCAGCTGCAGGTCTGCTGAGTATGTGCAGCAGTACCGATCACTTGGTGTGCAGCTTTTTATAACACTTCATCACAAGCTTGGCAAGGACGGTGTAGAGCGCAGATGGCTGGTGAACCCTAACGACCGCCCGATACACGCCGAATTCCATTTTAACACTTTTTTTGCGACAGATTCCGAAAACGCATTTTTGTCTATTTCCGTTATGGAGGTCGGGATAAAGATGCAGCCCTGAGCTCATTTCCAAACTTAGATTTCTGCTACAGTTTCTTTATACAGAACAAAATGATACTCCCAATCCAGTAAGGTCTTCCGCTTGCTTTGTTTCACCTGAAGTGTGGAGAAAGACCGTTGGTGTATGTCGTGCCCGCTTCCAATGCCCCCTCACATACAATGTGATAGTGTCGGTTACAGCTACACATTTACCTAGACAAGTATAATGTTCATGAATGATCATTTAATGATGTTTGCTGTTTTTATACGGTCCCTTTGTAAAACAAATGTGAAGTATTAACGTTTTTCTTTCTTTTCCAGTCCGTATACAACTACGCCAAAGTAGCGTGCAAGTGCCATGGCGTGTCCGGCTCCTGTAGCCTGAAGACCTGTTGGCAACAGCTGCCGTCTTTCAGAGAAGTGGGGGACCGTCTCAAAGATAAATACGATGGTGCAACAGAGGTCAAGTTCAACAAAAGGGGAACAAAACTAGTGCGCAAAAATAAACGCTATAACCGCCCGTCAAGGGAAGACGTGATATATTTGGACGAGTCGCCCGACTACTGCACATCGGATCCTGACACGGGATCCTTCGGAACTATCGGCCGTGAGTGCAACAGAAACTCGGAGGGGATGGATGGTTGTAACTTGTTGTGCTGCGGGCGCGGATACAACACTTTCAAACGAAAACTTGTTGAACGCTGCCATTGTAAATTCTACTGGTGTTGTTATGTGCGCTGTAAAACATGTGAGCGGATAGTAGATGTCCACACGTGTAAATAGTGACGTCATCAAGACGTGAAGATGACGTCATTGACTTTACTGAATGACTGAATTCATTCGCAAGTATGAATCACTCTCCCAGAGGAGGTACCACCACTCAAGCACGTTGTCCCGGTGGACGGTGCAAAGGAAAATGCGCAATAATTTGACGTCACAAAACAAAGATCGTGTACATCTTCCAAAAGGACCAGAGGCAAGGATTGCAGGCATGGGGATTACTGAAACATGTGTATCTCACATGAGATAAACCGCAGTTGTGTTATACATGTGCCAGGGAGCACGCGCTTGTTGCCATGGTAACTCACTACTTTTCCTACGGGAAAGTCCTCCGAGGTTAACTTGGCAGTGATGTGACAATCACGGTGATGATTAAAGGGCATGGTTTGTGCTGAACACAGTCCGGACTAGAAGAGTTCACACAGACACTATTCACCATAGTCGACCTTTAGCTCCAAAACCACAACAGTGAAATAGATGCCAGACTACCAGAGCGCGTCATCGGTTACTGTTAATACATAATTTATGTAACTGTTCCCTATCTAGTGCTGAGCAAGCTGTAAGTCTGAGTTTGTACATAGTTGGAAACATGAGGTTCCTGGCATGTAGGAACCACTAGATATTACTGCCACACTGTAGACTTTATCAACATGTTTCACAAGTTACTAGGTCAGTAACGGGCGAAGTGTTTGTATATATTAAAGACAGTAATCAGCAAGTACGAGATATTTATTTACCTTGTAATATATTTGTGGAGGAAACTACAAAGAACAGTGTACGTCATGACAGAAGTTTGCACAGATATCAACCGAGGGCCATGGCGAGGGTTAATCCAGGCTTAATCCAGGATTAAAGCTGGTGATCCGACTCCACCTGGCTTGTCTCCAGCCGTACGTTATAATTGCATTTAGTTTCTGTTTCTCTCAGGTAGAAATTGTAAAACCGAGTTCACGGATCGATGATGCACATATAGTTAAAAACCTTAAACGTTAATTGATCTACATTCGATATTTGCAGAAACTTTTCAAGAGAAAGCAAGCAGGAGATAACACACTTGATTCTAACGTGTACATATTTCCAGGTTGTTCATGACGCAGACCGTTACATAAAGAACTTGACCTGAGTCAGATAACTCTTTACTACTTTCACTACATGTTGCTTTAAAGCGATCCGTGAATTCAACAGCCACTAGCAATGTTCATTGGTCCGTACGTGTTATATGGACCCGTACTTGTACATAATTCTGGCTATATTTATGACCCATTTATCATTTGAATGTAACATCATGACACCACATATTCATCCAACCTTACTACTGTATTCACGTTTAGTCCTGTTGCCTGGCAACATACATATCACCCTTTTAAGTGTCAGTATCATTTTGAAATATTTACTCGAAATTACTGACTTACCGTTACAAGAGAGACTGACTTAAATCTATGCTCTAAAAGATTACATGCATGTGTAGAATGAAATAAGTTCATTGAACCCGACATTGACTTTGTTGTGTCTGTATCCCCAGCAGTGGGTTCCCTGGTAGCGGTCCTCTAGGGTGATATGCCTCAAGTTGCTGTAGGATATTATGTTATGTGCCCATCTTCATCAGCATTATGTCATGACTTAACATCATCTCTGTGTTGTTTATTTCTGTTGCTATGGTAATAAAATGGCTACAATATTTGGCCACCTGACCTAATATGTACATGTAAGTCTTGTTGTATAGATACTGTGTACAAGTCTACCGAGGGATAGCTGTTTTAACGAGAACGTGTTACGTGATCCTGGTAATAACTCTGTCTGTTAGTGTTTCATAGTGACTATCATTTCGTATTTTCACTGCTGAACCGAACAAATATTGTTGACAAAAACACTGATGTTTTAGCAATTTGATATTTTCTCCTGTAAGTGATATTTGGGGGTTATTAGCAATAACAAATCACTTCAAGTGCATTGATATGTGTAGTGCGTAATTTGTATTCAGGGGTTATTGACAAGCATAATATCACCTACAATAGATTTATTTCTTGAAATGTTATTATTTTTTTAACTATATGCCTAGTTGACGTTTTAGCATAAATGTGATTGCTAATTTCAGTTATCATAATACTATATTCAGTCATTTTATTTATTTGTAGACTACGAAGCCTCAGCTACAGCCGCCAAGGTGTAGTCTGAATCATCCAGGGTATGTAAGTCATTCAGATGTAAATAAAATATTAGAACACAAGAGAGTCGTGTGTGTTAATTCCGCCTGGACATAGAAGGACGCTGGATGAATGTATGGGGCATGGGAAACATTTCTAGGGTACAAGTCGACACATATACGTCAGTGAAATATTTGATCCGAGACATTAAGACTGACAACCATTGTGTAGAACAAATCTACATGTATTTCCAAAACGCATTCCTACATGTAAGCAGTGGAGTCTGCACACCAGTCCCTGTGTGAAAAGCTCTCTTATCCATCCACTAGTTTCTGTGTGAGAGTGAAAGTTTCTAATCGTTCTTCAGTCTCTGTATGAGAACGGACTCTGTCCAATCCTTCCACCAGTCTCTGTGTGAGAGTAAATGTAGTCTAATCCTTCCACCAGTCTCTGTTTGAGAATGAATTTTGTCTAATCTTTCCACCACTCTCTGTATGAGAGTGAATGTTGTCTAATCCTTCCACCAGTCTCTGTATGAAAATGAATTTTGTCCAATCCTTCCACCAGTCTCTGTATGAGAGCGAATGTTGTCCAATCCTTCCACCAGTCTCTGTATGAGAGTGAATGTTGTTTTATCCTTCCACCAGTCTCTGTATGAGAGTGAATGTTGTCTTATCCTTCCACCAGTCTCTGTATGAGAGTGAATGTTGTTTTCCTTCCACAAGTCTCTGTATGAGAGTGAATGTTGTCCAATCCTTCCACCAGTCTCTGTATGAGAGTGAATGTTTTCTAATCCTTCCACCAGTCTCTGTATGAGAGTGAATGTTGTCCAATCCTTCCACCAGTCTCTGTATGAAAATGAATTTTGTCCAATCCTTCCACCAGTCTCTGTGTGAGAGCGAATGTTGTCCAATCCTTCCACCAGTCTCTGTATGAGAGTGAATGTTGTCTTATCCTTCCACCAGTCTCTGTATGAGAAAGAATGTTGTTTTATCCTTCCACCAGTCTCTGTGTGAGAGTGAATGTTGTTTTATCCTTCCACCAGTCTCTGTGTGAGAGTGAATGTTGTCTTATCCTTCCACCAGTCTCTGTATGAGAGTGAATGTTGTTTTATCCTTCCACAAGTCTCTGTATGAGAGTGAATGTTGTCCAATCCTTCCACCAGTCTCTGTATGAGAGTGAATGTTGTCTAATCCTTCCACCAGTCTCTGTATGAGAGTGAATGTTGTCCAATCCTTCCACCAGTCTCTGTATGAAAATGAATTTTGTCCAATCCTTCCACCAGTCTCTGTATGAGAATGAATTTTGTCCAATCCTTCCACCAGTCTCTGTGTGAGAGTAAATGTAGTCTAATCCTTCGACCAGTCTCTGTTTGAGAATGAATTTTGTCTAATCTTTCCACCACTCTCTGTATGAGAGTGAATGTTGTCTAATCCTTCCACCAGTCTCTGTATGAAAATGAATTTTGTCCAATACTTCCACCAGTCTCTGTATGAGAGCGAATGTTGTCCAATCCTTCCACCAGTCTCTGTATGAGAATGAATGTTGTTTTATCCTTCCACCAGTCTCTGTATGAGAGTGAATGTTGTTTTATCCTTCCACCAGTCTCTGTGTGAGAGTGAATGTTGTCTTATCCTTCCATCAGTCTCTGTATGAGAGTGAATGTTGTTTTATCCTTCCACAAGTCTCTGTATGAGAGTGAATGTTGTCCAATCCTTCCACCAGTCTCTGTATGAGAGTGAATGTTTTCTAATCCTTCCACCAGTCTCTGTATGAGAGTGAATGTTGTCCAATCCTTCCACCAGTTTCTGTATAAGAACGAATTTTGTCTTATCCTTCCACCAGTCTCTGTATGAGAATGAAATTTGTCCAATCCTTCCACCAGTCTCTGTATGAGAGTGAATGTTGTTTTATCCTTCCACCAGTCTCTGTATGAGAGTGAATGTTGTTTTCTACTTGCACCAGTCTCTGTGTGAGAGTGAATGTTGTTTTATCCTTCCACAACACTCTGTATGAGAGTGAATGTTGTCCAATCCTTCCACCAGTCTCTGTATGAGAGTGAATGTTGTCTAATCCTTCCACCAGTCTCTGTATCAGAGTAAATGTTGTCCAATCCTTCCACCAGTCTCTGTATGAAAATGAATTTTGTCCAATCCTTCCACCAGTCTCTGTGTGAGAGCGAATGTTGTCCAATCCTTCCACCAGTCTCTGTATGAGAGTGAATGTTGTCTTATCCTTCCACCAGTCTCTGTATGAGAATGAATGTTGTTTTATCCTTCCACAAGTCTCTGTATGAGAGTGAATGTTGTCCAATCCTTCCACCAGTCTCTGTATGAGAGTGAATGTTGTCTAATCCTTCCACCAGTCTCTGTATGAGAGTGAATGTTGTCCAATCCTTCCACCAGTCTCTGTATGAAAATGAATTTTGTCCAATCCTTCCACCAGTATCTGCATGAGAGTGAATGTTGCCCAATCCTTCCACCAGTCTCTATATGAGAGTGAAAAGTGTCCAATCCTTCCACCAGTCTTTGTGAGATTAAACGTTGTCCAATCCTTCCACCAGTCTCTGTATGAGAGTGAATGTTGTCCAATCCTTCCACTAGTCTCTGCATGAAGGTGAATGTTGTTTTATCCTTCCACCAGTCTCTGTATGAGAGTTAATGTTGTTTTCTACTTGCACCAGTCTCTGTGTGAGAGTGAATGTTGTTTTATCCTTCCACAACACTCTGTATGAGAGTGAATGTTGTCCAATCCTTCCACCAGTCTCTGTATGAGAGTGAATGTTGTCTAATCCTTCCACCAGTCTCTGTATGAGAGTGAATGTTGTCCAATCCTTCCACCAGTCTCTGTATGAAAATGAATTTTGTCCAATCCTTCCACCAGTCTCTGTATGAGAATGAATTTTGTCCAATCCTTCCACCAGTCTGTATGAGAGTGAATGTTGTCTAATCCATCCACCAGTTTCTGTATGAGAGTGAATATTGTCCACTCCTTCCACCAGTCTCTGTATGAGAATGAATTTTTGTCCAATCCTTCCACCAGTCTCTGTATGAGAATGAATTTTGTCCAATCCTTCCACCAGTCTCTGTATGAGAGTGAATGTTGTTTTATCTTTCCACCAGTCTCTGTATGAGAGTGAAAGTTGTTTTCTCCTTCCACCAGTCTCTGTGTGAGAGTGAATGTTGTCTTATCCTTCCACCAGTTTCTGTATGAGAGTGAATGTTGTTTTATCCTTCCACAACTCTCTGTATGAGAGTGAATGTTGTCCAACCCTTCCACCAGTCTCTCCATGAGAGTGAATGTTGTCTAATCCTTCCACCACTCTCTGTATGAGAGTGAATGTTGTCCAATACATCCACCAGTCTCTGTATGAGAGTGAATGTTGTCCAATCCTTCCACCAGTCTCTGTATGAGAGTGAATGTTGTCTTATCCTTCCACCAGTCTCTGTATGAGAATGAATGCTTTCCAATCCTTCAACCAGTCTCTGTATGAGCATGATTTTTTTCCAATCCTTCCTCCAGTCTCTGTATGAGAGTGAATGTTGTCTAATCCTTCCACCAGTCTCTGTGTGAGAGTGAATGTTGTCTTATCCTTCCACCAGTCTCTATATGAGAGTGAAAGGTGTCCAATCCTTCCACCAGTCTCTGTGAGATTAAATGTTGTCTTATCCTTCAACAAGTCTCTGTATGAGAATGAATTTTGATCAATCCTCCCACCAGTCTCTGTATGAGAGTGAATGTTGTCCAATGCTTCCACCAGTCTCTATATGAGAGTGAAAGGTGTCCAATCCTTCCACCAGTCTTTGTGAGATTAAACGTTGTCCAATCCTTCCACCAGTCTCTGTATGAGAGTGAATGTCGTCTAATCCTTCCACCAGTCTCTGTATGAGAGGGAATGTTGTCCAATCCTTCCACCAGTCTCTGCATGAAGGTGAATGTTGTCTTATCCTTCAACCAGTCTCTGTATGAGAGTGAATGTTGTCTAATCCTTCCACCAGTCTCTGTGTGAAAGTGATTGTTGTCTAATCCTTCCATCAGTCTCTGTATGAGAGTGAATGGTGTTTTATCCTTCCACCAGTCTCTGTATGAGAGTGAATGTTTTCTAATCCTTCCACCAGTCTCTGTATGAGAGTGAATGTTGTCCAATCCTTCCACCAGTTTCTGTATAAGAACGAATTTTGTCTTTTCCTTCCACCAGTCTCTGTATGAGAGTGAATGTTGTTTTATCCTTCCACCAGTCTCTGTATGAGAGTAAATGTTGTCCAATCCTTCCACCAGTCTCTGTATGAAAATGAATTTTGTCCAATCCTTCCACCAGTCTCTGTATGAGAATTATTTTTTTCCAATCCTTCCACCAGTCTCTGTATGAGAGTGAATGTTGTCCTATCCTTCCACCAGACTCTGTGTGAGATTGAATGTTGTCTTATCCTTCCACCAGTCTCTATATGAGACTGAATGCTGTCCAATCCTTCCACCAGTCTCTGTATCAGAATGAATTTTGTACAATCCTTCCACCAGTCTCTGTGTGAGAGTATATGTTGTCTGATCTTTCCAACAGTCTCTGTATGAGAGTGAATGTTGTCTAATCCTTCCACCAGTCTCTATATGAGATTGAATGTTGTCCAATCATTCCACCAGTCTCTGTATGAGAATGAATTTTGTCCAATCCTTCCACCAGTCTCTGTATGAGAGTGAATGTTGCCCAATCCTTCCACCAGTCTCTATATGAGAGTGGAAAGTGTCCAATCCTTCCACCAGTCTTTGTGAGATTAAACGTTGTCCAATCCTTCCACCAGTCTCTGTATGAGAGTGAATGTTGTCCAATCCTTCCACTAGTCTCTGCATGAAAGTGAATGTTGTCTTATCCTTCAACCAGTCTCTGTATGAGAATGAATGCTTTCCAATCCTTCAACCAGTCTCTGTATGAGCATGATTTTTTTCCAATCCTTCCTCCAGTCTCTGTATGAGAGTGAATGTTGTCTAATCCTTCCACCAGTCTCTGTGTGAGAGTGAATGTTGTCTTATCCTTCCACCAGTCTCTATATGAGAGTGAAAGGTGTCCAATCCTTCCACCAGTCTCTGT